CATGATTCTCTCCCTAGGATGCGCCACATACTCAAATTTTGTTCAGAATCGTTCTGCCTACACAGTAGTTTTCGGGATGAACCTGTACCCAAATCAGTTCCTCCTTTCTCCCTTTCGGAGGAACCTTACACTTTTTTATGACTGAGGGAGAAAGCGAGGCTAGTGACGTGCTTCAATCAGGGAAAGGTGTAGGCCCCAGGGACGCCTCTTGCCCCTGCACCACCGCTGCTAAAGCCGGCAATCAATTGACCTTTACCCCTTAGAAAGCATTTCTTCAAACTAATTGGATTTCAGGTGGTTTTAAAGTTTCATGGGGCGTTTGCTCTCTAAGGTTCTCTAGGCACCAAAGTTCCGCATGACAGCACTTTGAGAAACTTCAAGAAATTATTAAGCGTTAAGAACAAATTATCGATTTCTTCTGCATTTTTATTCAATCGATCTGCCATGATCTGTTCAACTGTTAGATGAAATAAGTAATCTGGATTGGATACCGAAAAAGATCTTTGCAATTTCCCCTCATGTATTTCCAACTCATTCTTCTGGTTAGCCGCTACCACTACCGTTCCTCTTTCACAATTAGTACGTTTTTTTCCTTATCGGTCCTATATTTCTGCTAACTGCAGAAGAGATAGGTGGCAGCTAGAAAGCTAAGTTCTCCTCATCGTACGCCCGTTCCTTATAATTGCGCCCGCTGTTGGCCTCATTCATTCAAGGTAAATCTTTTTCCATTACCACTAAGCTCTGAATTGGATCTAATTTACTAGTATGGTCATCAAAAGTATTTTCCTTTATTGGACCTTCTCTCATATGATCGATATGGCCTGCGTTCGCCGCCGGAGCGGATGGAACGCAAATTTTATCAAGTTTGCATCGACCGGACCGCAAATTTTCAGCACTACGTCTTGCCCTAACGGGCATTGAATATGGTTTTCGGCTTTTCGAGGTTTCGGAAGGACGATGTTGGCTAATTTGTTCACGAAGAAGTCCTGGGAACTTCCAATAAATAACCATAAAGAAAACATTTGAGAACTATGAAATGGCTCGAAAATCATTCAGTTGTCGGAACCTACGAAAAGAAGGGAGTGGACCCTCTTCACGGCTTTAGCCATTTATAATTCCGAGGCTCAACGCTGGTAATAAAGTCGGAATAAAACGAAGTGTATGGATGCGAGAATGTGGCAGAAAGCATAGTTACCAAGATGTGCGAATTGGGTTTCAATCGACTCAATCGAACTTTGACTCGGTCGTGGTCAGTTCCACTAGCCAGGCCGCGATAAGTAACGGCATACCCACTGGTCCCTTAAGCACTCCTCCCCGAAATATTCTTGCACTATTTTTCGAAATAATTATGTCAAATGTAACCACTTGACACAACACACAAAGTTTCGCGCAAAGATCCAGTTTCAAGACAAGCATACGAAAGCCACACTCCATGGACGGTCGAGGGTAGGTCGCGCGGAGGAAATAAGGCGACCACGCATCAGGCGACGCATTGAAAAATCAGGGTTTGAAGCGTTCGATTTTGGAGAATAGAGACCAAATGTCGACTGAATAGGATGCAGTAGTAGTGATGAAATGGTAGTGCAATATGTCAAAAGGTCAAAAAAGTTCCTGGTGACGACACCTCGAGGGAAAAAAAACCCCATTTGTGAAGGGTTCCCCGCACGCCAAAATTTGTGACAAATGACGGCCGGGAATTTGAACGCGTAACAGTCCCACCGTTCTTCGAATTATTTACAAAAACAAGGCGATTTTTTTGTTCTTTTCGTTATTATCGTAAACGGTGGGTCTCGATCCAGTGCTTCATAGGTGAAACAGGATAATGACTTCTCCGAGAAATATTCCTCTAATTCGTCATATGGCGGCTAGAGATGCATTCATGTGTGTTGCTATTGTGAATCCCATGGGGCTTGTCTCAAAATACCTCTGAAATGAATACCGATTTGATCCTGAAAGTACTGTAGAATGAGTAGGTATTAGGAGGCCTCAACTCCTACAATTCTGAGTGAAACTCGAACGCGTGGCGCATCCCAATGCCTATTAATAAGCACTGCAGTACCTCTATATTTCGGGTATGTTAATACACTGCGTTTCATAATTATAGGTCCACCCTAAATTTTTGCTACCCCAAAGTTGCTGTGCATTTTTTGGAAATGCTGCTATCACCGTTAGATTCCTCATCACGGAAAACCTTCATAGTGTTTTTCTGACAAATTCCCCCTCAAGTAACCCAATTAACTTTTTTAGAACGAATTTTCACCGTTTCATGAATATCGGGCCACTCATAAAAAGTTTCCATTTCTCACGATCCGTGAAGGGAATCAGGGAAGCGGGGAAATATGTGGGCTCAGTCGACATCGAGTTTACCATACCTCGTGTTATTCGCCTCTCTTCCCAGTAACAAGCTCAAGCTAGAGCACTTACTGAAGTGGGATAGCTGAGGAGCAGAATTTCCTCCCATGTCGGCCGGCTCATACTGCATAAGCGACTATGTGCAAAATCCTGGTCAGTGCGGAGAGAAGAGTCGCTTAGGTAAATAAAGACTGCGTTTCCTTCAAAATTTAGGAGGAATTGGGTGTCTTCTCTCGAATTATACAAGGAGTCCGAACAAAGTCCGTACTGAAATGCGGCCTTCCGTGAGCAAAACCACCGTGTGGTGAGTAAGCCAGCAGAGCAATAACATCTTCAACGGATTGATGAAGAGCGTTCCAAGATTATTTGAGCGCTACAAGATCGCAAGTCTCCATTTCTCCGTGGAAAAGGGCTCAACTTAATGAGCGATGGTGTGGCTGTTAAGACCCTTCGCGATCTTGGACTCTACCTCCTTGTTTCGTTCTACAGGTGGTCTGAGATCGACGTGGAAAAGTTTATTCTAGGTGGATATGGCAGAAAAAGAGGGTACAGGATGATCGCGTGAAAATCGCAGATGGTTTCAATGTAACGTAATTTCGGCGGTGAATCCCTTATGGTTTGAGGCACCTTTGAACGACTGAGTAGCTAGAGCTCGCTTTTGTTTCCGTTCACAAAGATTCCACAGGGTATCGTGAAGTTCTTTCGAAGCGAGTCTTACCATTTTTTCAACAAGGATCCCCTCTATCCTTGATTTTCACACACGATAACGCGGCTGTCCATGCCGGTCCCTCCGCGCCAGATGGAATTGCAGGAAAAAATGTGGCAGTTATCTGGTGGCCACCATGTTATCTGAATTAGATTCCAATAGAGAATCATTGGGCCTTAATTGTTATAAAGTTCCACAGCAAAGTAAAGCAAAATGGAACAGCCGAAAAGCTGAAAAGGTCGATCATCGGCGCCCAGACGAATTTCGATCCTACTGTAATAGCTAATTTGGCTACCAGCATTTCAAAACGTATTATTGTGTTCCTTATGATTATTGGGGGGTCATCCCATTATTGAAAATTTCGTGACGTTTTTTCGTTATAGTAAAATCTCTCGACAAGTGATGTGTAGTCATATTTGCGAAACGGTGAAAATACGTTCTAAGGAAGATATTTTAATAATTCTGAATCGAGATTTCTCCAGAAATCAAGTATCAAGGTTTTTCGTTATGGGGAAACTATTGGTAATAGCGGCATTTTCCAAAAATGCACAGCAACTTTGGAATAGCAAAAAATTAGGGTGGACCTATATTTATGAAACGCAGTGTATATAGATGAAAGCTGAGAAAGCAATTTTTGATCTTTCATATTAACGGAATTTGGATTTTATTTGCAGATGAATAAAAAAAATTTGTAGTTTCACTGCGAGAAACGATTATGAGCAAAAAGAACCCTGCACAAGTTCGAAGTGAAATGACGTAATATTCATGAAAATGCCGTGACTTGCGACAGGAAATTTTACAGTATCAATCATACCTGTCGGTTAGGGATTTAGTGAGCGGAAATGCTTTTAGTGGATCCCATTCGCCAAGTGCAATATCTGAACCGCAGACGAACATTTTCTCCCATAATTTCAGTCGTAATACCCTAACTTGAAACTGCACTCGTGTTCTCTCCATCATCTGTAAAGAAATGGGAAATTTTAGTTAAGCTGAGATGGCGCTGGGGCCCCGAGAAAGTGGGTCGATGATGGTGGTGGACGAGGAAGAGGAGGAGAATAAGCGAAAAGTACAAAATAGTGAAGTACTGAAATCAAGACTAGCAGGGGAAATTCATCGGAAAGAAACACGGAGAGGCCAGCATTTGGAAGAAAGTCAATGAAAACCAGTAGTGATTGAAGAAAGTCGGCCTGATGAGAGTGAAAGTAACAGAAA